AAACAGTAGGATGAGATGTTTCTGTCCCCACAATCGGCCAATCAGAGTGTTGATGTGTGCATGGATACCCTTGTATGGAGACGCAAGACAAACAAAAGTGGGGGATCAATCACTCTCCTGCCTGGCTGCGGGCTTCTCGGCCACTTTAAGGTCCGTTCAGGCTAAGGTGGGCTGTCGCCTAAGCTCACTATTGTGCCTTTATTCAACCACACACAAATTCTACAACTTGGGGAGGACTCTTTAAGCACAAACGCTTCCTCCCTCTGTCTTGTTCTCCAGCTCGTTTCACACACTCTCCTATCCAGAACTCTTTCACTCACACATTTATTCAGAAATTATCACATTCCCTCCCGGTGACCCCCTAACTGTAACCAAAACAAATGAAAGAAACTACCTCCCCAAATGGCAAAGCACAAGAGGTAATCCGGCCCCTGCACTATTTTTGCTCAAAGTTCACAAAGTGAACCAAAACAAATGGGAGGAGCTACCTCCCCAAATGGCAAAGCACAAGGAGTGATCAGGCCCCCTGCGCTGTATTTGCCCAAAGTTACAAAATACAAATTCACAGGGCGAAATTGAAAGTTAACAACTAGGGAGTTTCCTGGGGTTTCTCACCCAGCAAAGGAAAAAGACAGATGAGACACCAGGAGCATCAGTCCTTCTGTAGTCTCCTCGGGTTCGGGCGATCCTCCGCCAGTGAGCGGATCCCTGTGTCCTGTTGGGGAGCCTAGGAAATTAGTCCCAGGGGCACGCCTTTCTTCTCGAGGAGACAGAGAGCTGCTCCCTCCGGTGGGGTTTGGGCCGATGCCCAAAAGGGCTATTTCATTCCCTATTCCTGGCCAACACACCAAATGTTGCAGAAATCTCAGAAAGAAATACACGGAGACACAGAATTCAGATAAAATAATAAAATTTCTTCTCTCGAGCGGGCGGGAACGCCAGAAACCAGTCTGGCTAGTATCCGAGCCCCTTTGCTCAGCATTTCCCTTTTTATATCCTTTTTAGCCATTATCTCATCCCTAGTGGTCTTTGATATGTAAATACAATTCCAGTTCCTATTTACAAGTCACAGACACGAGATAGGCCATATACATTGTAAATTCACCCTGGCATGGTAACTTTGTTAGGTTAATGAAGTTACGGTTTAGAGTCAGATAATCCTCACCTTAAACAAGGAGTTATGGGAAAAGCAAATCTTAAAAGAACACATTACTTATTTTGTTTCTACAACTACCTTAATATTCAAACTATTAAGTTATCTAAAACTTTTCTGTATCAGATAGGGAATCATGTTGTTGGCAGCGCTAACAAGAAAATATGTGCTCAGGCCGGGGATTTAGCTCAGGGGTTTCGCTGCCTGCTGCGCAAGCACAAGGACCCGAGTTTGATCCCTGGTTCCAAAAAAAAAAAGAAAAAAGAAAAAAAAAAGAAAAAAGAAAATATGTGCTTACAATAATCATTTATTACAGGCTACAAAACTTTGGAGTTATTAATTCCATTTTCAGATTAACCCATGCCACACTTTTCCTTTTCATCATAAGTGATGGGCATGTGGCTGGCTGGTAAGCAGGGCGGTGGTAAAAGCAGCAGGTCAGCTGCTGGCTTCCTGTTATCTCTGTCCTTCTGTGGATGCAGGTAGTGGATCCGCTTGTGTGGGGGTCTGGCTCAGGGGGCCTGTCAGCAAGGAACATGACTGCGGCCATCTTCCCCACTCTGATATGTAGTCATGGCTTCCTCCAGTTGAGATTTCAATCACAGACAGACCTGTGCATACTTGGTGTGAAGCCTTTTTGTTTGCTTTTTAGCATATACAGTATTGTACAGTATTATTCCATCCATTGCTTCAAAGAAAATGAAGAGCAAGCATGGTGGAAAAAAAAAAGCACAGAGAAGTAATGAAGGTGACAAGAAAGTGCAGAGCAAAACTGGTAAGGGGAAAGTTTTGAAGAAAATAACCATTGAATTGAAGATGGAAATTGTAGAAAAGCATAAGTGTGGTATTTGTTTGAATGATCTGGCCTTGAAGTATAAGATGGCAAAGTCGACAATCTTGACTATTTTGAAGAATAAAGATGCTATCAAAGGAGCTGATATGCCAAAAGGAGTAATGTTGCTAACCAAGCAGAGGACACAAGTGCTGGAAAATGTAGAAAAATTTTTGTTAGTGTGATTGAATGAGAAATAGCTGGCAAAAAGTGAAAATAGAAGGAAAAAATGGAAACAAAGCTTTTGTACATAGGGAGGGGAGGGGGCTTCAGGGGGGAATGGGATAAAATAAAATGTATAATAAAAAAATGAAAGAAACAGCTGGCAGGTGATAGCATTAGTGAAGCTATGATCTGTGAAAAAGCCAGGAAACTGCACAGTGATTTACCACAAGAAAACCCCTCTACAAGTGCAACAAGTGATGAATTTAGAGCCAGTAGAGGGTGGTTTGATAAATTCCACAAGAGAAGTGGTATCCACAGTGTGATAAGATATGGTGAGGCTTCCAGTTCTGACAAGGCCACTGCAGAAGCCTACAAGAAAAAATTCTCAGAATTCATGAGAGCAGAAGGCTACGTCATTCAACAAGGCTCAAGCTTGATGAAACAGGGCTCTTCTGGAAGTTCGGGCTACTGCACAAACCCATGAAGGACAGATTGACCCTTTTGCTCTGTGCGAACACAAGTGCTGATTTGAAGATTAAGCCACTCCTGGTGTAACATTTCCAGACCCCTCATACATTCAGGGAACAGAATGTGCACAAGACCAGGCTGCCTGTCATGTGGAATGCCAATGTGAAAGCTTGGGTCACAAGGCAATTGCTCACAGAATGGCTGCATGAGGTGTTTGCACTCATCATTAAGAAATATCTTTCTGACAACCAACTGCCTGAAAGGTGCCTCCTTCTGATGGACAATGCCCAGCATACCCTCCAGCCTTGATGGATGATATGGACGCTGAGTATGACTTCATAATGGGCAAGCCCCCCCCAACATGACACCTCTTCTGCAGCCCATGAACCAGCAAGTGATCTGCAACTTTAAGAAGTACACAAAGGCATTCTTCACCAGGTGTTTTTTAATATCACTGAAGAGACATCCTTGACTCTGAAAGAGTTCTGGAAGAAACACTTCAATGTCCTCCACTGCATCAACCTCATTGACAAAACCTGGGAAGATGTCACGTACCAGAACTTAAACTCAGCCTGGAGGAAGCTGTGGCCAGAATGCGTCACTGAATGTGACTTTGAAGGGTCTGATGACAGGTAGTGGAGGAGACTGTGTCCATGGGCAAGAGTATGGGTTTGGATTTTGATGGTGCAGACATAGAGGAGCTTGCTGGGGACCATAAAGAGGAGCTAATGATGGAAGAACTTGCTGAACTCCAGAGTGAGCAGCAGAGCCAGGTGTGGTGGCACAGCACCAGTGTCAGCACTCAGGAGGCTGAGGCAGGAGGATAGCTGTGAGTTTGAGGCCAGCCAGGGTTACATAGTGAGTTCAAGGTCAGCCTGAACTGCATAGTGAGACCGTGTCTCAAAATAAAAACCAAAAACAGAGTGAGGAGCAGAAGGCACTTGTTGGGGAGCATTCCCCTGAGGAAGAAGAAGACAGGAAGGGGGTTAGCAGTGATGTGAGAAAATCCATTATGGAGAAATGGAATGAGTGCCAGGATTCCTTCGAGAAGCACCACTGCAACATAACTGTAAGAAACAGAATGTTGGGCTGGGGATTTAGCTCAGTGGTTTCTCCGCCTGCTGTGTAAGCGCAAGGACCCGAGTTCAATCCCCAGTACCAAAAAAGAAAAGAAAAGAAACAGAATGTTGAATCTGATAAACAATAACGTGGTCTCTTATTGCTGGATGGTTTTGCAGCACAGGAAAACACAAGTGACATTAGACAGACTTTTCATCAAAATTGACCCTGCAGCTGAGAGACAGAGAAGAGAGGAAAACCCTGAAGGAGGTCTCCAAACACTAACCTCAGGGGCCGGGGATTTAGCTCAGAGATTTCCTCACCTGCTGTGCAAGCACAAGGACCTGAGTTCAATCCCTGGTACCAAAAAAAAGAAAACACTAACCTCGGCCCACCTACCTTCCCATCCTCCACACCAAAAGTCACCTCTCTCTGTAACAGGGGTTGAACTCAGGACCTTGCGCTTGTGAGGCAGGTGGCAGAACCACTGAGCTAAATCCCCAGCCCTAGTGTCCTCTCTCTTTATACTGTCCTGTACCTTGTTTCATATTTTTGTGGTTCAAAATACATATGGTTCAGAATGTATTAACCTTTTTGGGAAATTTGATTTGGTTTGGGACCAGAATCATGGAACAAGTTAAATTTGTGAAAGGAGGTACCACTGTAACTGAGTAAACTAAGAAACTGAAGGCCAGGAAATCAGTGAGCTAAAATAAACCTTGGGAAATCAGAATGCAAAGGACAAAGAACAAGTCTTTAAATAAACTAGAAGAAGCCTCAGGGGGCTGGAATGCAAAGAACAAAGAAGCAAGTGGGCCTGCTTTCCAGACATCAAAAGCTTGGCAAAAGCAAACAGCAAGCAGCTTCCCTGCATTCTCTCACATTTCCCTATATCGGTTTTCTGTTGTTATTGTTATTTTTTGTGGGTTTTTGTGGGGTTTTTTTGGCAAGAGACTGCATAAAAGGCCCTGGACTACATATCTATAGTGCCAGGCATGGTGGTGCATCCCTGTAAGAAGACACTGAGGTAGGAGGATCACTGTGAGTTGGAGGCCAGTCTGGGCTACATAGTGATTTCAAGGCCAGCCTGAACTACATAGGGAGACCCTGCCTCAAGGAAAAAAAATGTCCCCTCTGGACAATAGGAGCTCTTGTTTTTGTTCTTTCTAATAAACCAAATATGAGGCCATTTCCTACTCCTTGCTGTTTTGTCGCCTCCTTCTGCATCACTTCAGAACAAGGACCCAAAAGGAGCTGGTTAAACCGTGACCTGATCATCTACCACTAGGTCTCTTAAAATTTCCACCATCTTAATACTGTTACCTTGAGGACCAGCTTCCAGCACATGAACCTTCAAGGGACAAATCACATCCGAACCACAGCAATCTTCCGTCTGAAGCATGCGGAAGGGCATGCTCTTGATGGCTGTGTCTACTCGCTCTTGCTCAGAAGAAGTTGTTTCTTTATTTGGCTGTGACTATTCGAAGAGGGACTGTGCTCCACCAACATGGTCTCATTGTTGCTTCTCCTGGGCACCTATCTTAGTCTGTTCAGACTCTAACAAAATCCTTATAAATAGCTGAAATATATCTCTCATTGTCTGGAAGCTGGAAAGTCCAAGATCAAGGTTTGAGCATATTTGGTGTCTGGTGATTGCCTACATATTTGTCCATAGATGGCACTTTTGTGGTGGAAGGGGCAAGGTCGTTTTCTGGGGCCTGTTTTATAAGGGCACTGTCACGATCTGCATATCCCCCGCACAACTCATGTTGAATCTCTATTGTGAAGTGTTAAGGTGTGGGACTAGCTGGGACCTTTAAGAGGTGATTAGGTCATAAGGGCTCTGTCCTTATGAATGGATTGATTCATTTGTGATCAACAGATTAACGGATTACTGAGTTATTATGGGAATGGCTTCGTTACAAAATCAAGTTCTCCCTGGTTTGCACTATGTCACCGTGAGATGTCTTCCACCATGTCATGACCCAGCAAGAAGGCTCCCACCAGATCCCAAGCAGCAGTCAGCATCATATCCTTGGACTTCCAGAACTCTGGTTAAATAAATCCATTTTCTTTATAAATTACCCAACCTCTGGTATTTAGTTATAACAACAGAAAAGAGACTAAGACCAGCATCAATCCTATTCTTGAGGTTGTGATCCCCATGATCTAAGAACTTCCCAAAAGGACTCCATCCTAACACCATCACATTGGTGATTAGATTTCAGAAACTAGATTTGGGAAGGCATCAATACTGAGACCACAGAAGCAGCCAAGGCAGAGACAGCTGGAGATTAATTTCAGTGACACTTTCTCAGCTTGAATGTCCCATATAATGAGCCAACTGAGGCTCCCTCTGCCTGGAGACTATGAATATTGCTTGTCCCAGCTACCACCGCAGCTGAGACAAACTTCCTGGTTACTCCCAGAACCAGCCAGAAGTTTATTGGTTTTCCTTACAAAGTGATTGTAGGTTTTCAAAAGTCCTAGCTTTGTGCAAGGATCTCATCTTTAACTTACCCCTCTCTCTCCCTAGTCTACTTCTCATCTTTTGTTCCTGAATGAAGTTAAAAACCTAGGCTTTTCCCCTTGGGAACCCTGTAGGCAAATGTTATAGTCCCCCCGGCAGAGGTCCCAAGAAAGCTAATATGACAATTTTAGGCAGCTGCAGGTATAAGAAGCTACAATGGTGTCTCCAGTGCACGGGAAATGTTCCAAGAGACCCTAGTGGATTCTTGGAACCTCAGGTGGTACAGAGCTCCATATATACAATCCTTTTTTCCTATGTCCCCTGCAGAGCTGCCACACGGTACAAGAGCTCATCTGTCCCTCCATGTCTTATGCCCTGGTGCCTCCTTGGCATGAGTACTGTTGCACGTTGGTGGCCATTGTTAAGTAAAATAAGGCTTCCTTGAAAACAAACAGTGCAATACTGGGAACCAAGATGGCTACTAAGTGGTTAACAGGCAGGTGACATATGCAGCATGGATGCCCTGGACAAAGGGATGATTAACATCCAGGGATGGATGGAGCAAAACAGGGTGAGATTTTATCAAATAGTGTACAATTTAGAGCTTACAAATTGTTTATTTATGAAAATTTCCATTTAGTATTTTCAGTCTATGGTTGATCTCTGGTAGCCAAAATTGCAAAAATCGAAACCTCAGATAAGGCAAGAGTGTTGTAGAATGGTTCACACCACCTCTTTCCACCCACCATCCGTATATAATCTGAGACGGTTCTTTTCAATGTTTATGATATATGACCTCCAAATGATATAGGGGAAATAATATAACTCCAAACCTGCTAGATGTCAGATATGCCGAATTTGTGTTCCCCAAAATCAAAGAATAAATTCTAAGGAACAACAGAGGTTAAGAACAGGAAATAACTGCCAGTGATTTAGCTCAGTGGTGCCATGCCTGCCTCAAAAGCACAAGGTCCTGAGTTTGATCCCTGGTACCAGGGTGAAAAAAAAGAATAGAAAATATTTATTGAGAGGCATAACTCCTGAGAGGCAGGAGGGACCTAACTGGGTTGCCAATGAGCCCACTTTACAGAGGAAGTTTTATAGAGCAAAATCACAAAGTGGGTACAGAATCACAAGGTGGGTACAACATGGGACAAAACTATATGATCAACCAATAAGATTACAAGTAGAGGGTCTTAGGTAATATTGATCCAATCGGGAAACAAGTCACATAACAAGTGTACATGGAAAGAACAAGGATCTTTTTTCAAAGAGATGAATCAGGAGGTCCTGGTCACTCACCCAGGTAAATAATGCCTATCTAGACTTTATTGGACCAGGTAATACTGATTATAGTATATCATTTATCCCTTGGGGAGGTATTCAGGCCTAGTCATTCCATCTTTATCTTGAGGCCTGGTCTTCAATGAATGTGCCTCCAGCCACAGTTGTAATGTGTTTTCATCTTCTGCACTGACTCCCTTGAGGGCCTAGCCCTGTCTGCCTATAATATTTCTACCTAACTTGGCCATCTTTAATATTTATGGGGAAATACTTTAATAATGAGCACGTAACAGTGACTTGGGTCAACAGTGACTAGGATGGGAAATACAGGTAGTCTCCGTTACCTGAAATGCTTGGGACCGGAAGTGTTTTGGATTTTGGAATATTTGTATATACATAATGAGAATAGGACTTGGGAACAGGACTCAAGTCTAAACATAAAATTCACTTACGTTTCATACACACCTTATACACAAAGCCTGAAGATAATTTTATGCCATAATTTAAATAATTTTGTGCATGAAACAATGTTTCATGATGTAGAATTTTCCACTTGTGCCTTAGAGTCGGTGCTCAAAAAGTTTCAGATTTTTTGGAATATTTCAGATTTTGGATTTTCTGGTTAGGTATGTAATGTAATGTTCCTGATCCTGTTCCTGATTCCTGTCCCTCTTTGCTTATGTCAGGACTACAGCTTTAGAAGGGGAAACCTTAACACCTTCCTGATAGCAGGTCAGACGACCAATCCCCAGATGACAGCTACCACCCTGCAGGCTTACAAGAGGGTTTCCCAGGATGAGTGGAACTCAAAGAGTTATAGTGCCATCTCCTTAGGGAAAGTCTTATGTTAATAACATAATACCTGGCTCTTCAGAAGGAAAGAGCGAAGGGAGTAAAACTAATTTGAACTCCCCTCCCCCCAGACCTTAACTAGCTGAGGTATGGACAGCCTGGAGGCAGCAGGAACAGTGCTATGGTTTAGGTGTGTCCTTCCTGGAATTCTAGACATGGTTTGTTTTTTGTTTTTTCCGGTACTGGGGATTGAACTCAGGACCTTGTGCTTGCAAGGCAGGCCCAGCGCCACTGAGCTAAATCCTTGGCTTCTAGTCATGTTAATGGTTTTTGAGAGTTGGGATCTTCTGGAGGTAATTACACAAGGACTCTGTCCTCATGAATGGATTCATCTGTTCTCAGATTAATGGCTTTATGGGTTATTTTGGGAGTAGCTTTGTTATAAGAGCAGCTCTCTCTGACACACCTTGCTCTGTCTCCCTATGTGATGCTTCTGCTTTGTTACTATGCAGCAAGAAGCCCAAACACGAAGCAATGCTGTGCTCTTGGATTTCCCAGCCTCCAGGACTGTGAAGGAAATAAACTTTTATTCTTTACAAATTACCTAGTCTTGGTTCTTTTATTATAGCAACAGAAAATGGACTAAAAGAGATCTGTTTCCCAGGCTTTGATGCAGGGGTCTCAGCCTCATGGACCACAGGATTCATGGGCTTTGATAGAGTGTGCCAGAACCACCACTCCCATGGTAAGAATTTGTCCTAATTTTACTCACCTTTCTCATTATCACCCTGGCATATTGTGGTAACTTATGCGACCAACTCAGAAAATAAGGTGTCCTGGGTTCAAGTCCTGGCTCTATCTCTTTCAATCTATGAAACTAGAGACAAATGGCTTAATTCTCTGTGCTTCTGCTCCCTCATCAGTCAAATGAGAAAATGAACAGCGCTCTCCTAAGGTTATGATGATCAAATGAGTAGAGGCAGGTTAGGACTCAGGCTAGTGAGCAGTACATAGTAAGTGCTCAGTGAATGCTACTTTTGAGTCATCAAAGGAAAAACAAACAATATACACCACATGAAACCATGTGGGGCTGCCAACCATCCAACTAGCTCACAAGCTGCTCTTTTGGGGCTCAGGCTCCTTTGCTTCTGATGCTTGGAGATTTCCCTCCTTTGCAAGGTCAGCCTTGTGCTACACATTTGTGGAGGTGGATATTTTTTTATTCCCTAGCTCACAGGCAGGAGATTAGGCCATGGCCAATTGGCTGGGGAAGTGGGCATGATCTGTCAATCACGGAAATCAGGGCACATGTGCCCAAGCCCTGCACTTGGGACCAATCAGACATTGCTATCTTCAATTCTTTTGGTGGGAAATCAAGCAGGTTTTGATAGAAGAACCCAGATCCGATGTTAGCCTGAGGTTACCAAACACTGTAAACTCTTTCAGTGGCCTGCTCTCACCTTATAGAGTGTGTTTTTTTCCTACTTTAATTGGCCTGAACTCACTCTGCAGAGCATACTTCTTTCCTTACCTTTAATAAATGTAAAACCCTGCTACTTTTGCACATTTCTTGTCCAATTCTTTGTTCATGACAAGAACCTGGAAAGAATCTCTAGGAGTCCAAGCACCCCAGAACCCCAGTAACAGCTCAACTCTGCCTAGTCTTCTATTCAGACTAGAAGCCTTTCCTTCATTCCTTTGGCCCTTCTGCTGCACATCATCGAAAGCATTTGAACCAAAGTAACTCTTTTCCTTGGGGTAGGCTAACCTGGTACCTAACAGGCACCAGGAATATGTGGTTCTTCCACAAGTAACAGTTTAGGGTAGTAGTTCCCTAAAGGTTGGTGGGGAACTCTGTCTCTTGCTGTTTCCAAGCACCCAGGCTTCTATCTGCACAAAGTTTGCATGGATGTCTGCTTGGGGCCATTGTCGTCCTCACAATGGGGGAAAGTCTGCAGAGGGCATGCATGGGAACTTCTATGGGCCAGTGTAGAATGCAGCTCATGTCACTGCAGGTCAGATTCCAATAAAAAGAGTTATGGCCAAACCCAACCTGAAGGAATGCTAGGAAAGGAAATATAGACAGGTGGGGCTGGGGATTTAGCTCAGTGGTTTAGCTGCCTGCTGCGCAAGTGCAAGGACCAGAGTTTGATCCCCGGTACAAAAGAAAAAGAAAAAGAAATGTAGACAGGTGTCACATGCCCAGCTACAAGCCTGTGTGTACCAATGAAGAAGAGAAAAGGTTTTCGTAAATGGCAGGCAGTGTAGTATAGAAGGAAAATACTGGGCCCTGCAGGTCTAATGAGATTTGGGGATTGGCAGGAGTTCTTTAGAAAGGAACTTTCTCAGGAAGGGACATTTCAGAAAGAGTCACAATTGCCCAGAGACTAAAACACTCATGTTGGCCTCGAGAATAGAAATTTTAGAGTACATCTTAGGAACTAAGAGGGTGGGG